CACTGGTCACACCTGCCCAATACGTCGGCGAGAGTTTAAGTTTAAGGACCTGACACAAGTAAACTATGCAACCTCCGTGCAGTTCGGTTTTTTGGGGGGTTTTTTGTTTTGTTTTTGGTACGGTAGACATTCAGATTTAACTTTTGATTTTGATCTAACAAAACTCAGGTAGGTTACTTTGATTGCAATGGGCATACCAACAATGTATTCCAATAATTTCATGACATTTTAGCTATATACGTCTTACAACTTTTCTTGCAACTTTTGTTGATTTTTCTTGCAACTTTTTGCAACTTTTGCTATTTTCAAATGCAACTTTCTCTGAGGACAGACAAATCAGTCAGATATTGATGGATTTGTTTGTGCGAGCGCTCAAACTATCCGTACTTGGACAGGTACTCAAAATATTACGGATGGAAATTGGTAGTAAATGCAGCACAGGAACAGGTGTAAATCTTGGGGTAGGCAAAATCAGTACCCAAAAGAGATGAGGATGTATACAGCCTAAATAGTTCTAGAAGAGACGAGTGAAAAAGGTGCAAGAAAAGCAAATTGAAAGATGTTCAGAGTTTCTTACCTTGCAGAGTCCTTTTGTCACTATCCAGATGAAGAAAAAATGGATTTGAGACTTTGACCATATTCCTTTCCTCAATGCCAATAGTCAGGTGAGAAGACCCCGAGCTGTCAATATTCAAGCTGGACAACGAAGACAGAAGATTACACTAATAAGGTGTATGCAAAAATCTGGAAATATTGTGCACAAGTTAAGAATTTATTAGTATTACTCCAGGAGAGCGACACAAGGTTAGAGAAGTCTACTTCAAGAGTAAATCCTAATTTTTCCCCAAAAGTTGTGTTCCTTTTCCACTACCAACCCATAATTTAAAACTATCTTACAAATCATCTGTGAGATAATTAACTATCTTACAAATCATCTGTGAGATAATTAACTATCTTACACATTATTATCATCTTTGAGATAGTTAACTATCTTACACATCATCCGTGAGATAGTTAACTATCTTACACATCATCTTTGAGATAGTTAACTATCTTACACATCATCCGTGAGATGAAAATACAGGGAAAGGTCCAACACAGAAGACTCGAAATCACACATCCGTCAAAGTGTGCCTACCGTCCCGTTTTATCTTTTATCTTCACGTAAGAAAAACACACGAAGCTCAAAAAAACAAACACGGAATAGTCAAATTAATTACGCTTCTGTAGGGGTCAAAAGTCAATGTCCTTTGAGGTGCACTGTAGACAAATTATAATAATAATTCTTTTTTTAAACGGAAAAGGTCAAGGTTGGTAAAAACCACCAACCCGCCTCTACAGAAGCAGCTAGCAGTGCTATTTTTAGGGTGCTGCTCGACACGCGTGCCTAGGCCCTAGGTCTAGCAAGGCTTGCATGGAGTGGGTGAGAGAAAGGGTTGTGCATCACACGATCGGCCGCCCCACGCCTCTTGGCAAAGGACTGCGCGCTTGGCGGGAGAGGCGGATTACTGTCGTGAAAAGCAGATGTTATCGATCAAATTGTTCATGTTTTGACAATTTTGAAAAGGCATCTTTGACTGGTGCAAACTAAAGACCGCTCACACTGACCCGCGCAAGGAAACTGTCTTAGTACCCGTAGGCTCATTACCGATAGAACTCAAAAGCGCTGTTCATCATTGTTTTGCCCCTAAAGTAGCAATCTTTGTAGTTTTTCTTGGTTCTCTGACACAGCCGATGCCATCCCACTTTTCATGTATCCCTCGAACTACTGAGTCTGGTCCCAACGAGTTCCAGCTATCCGTATACTGTACACAGAAACTCTGAAGAAATATACATATTGATCACAAGTCTAAAGCTAGCAATTACATCTGGATTCTAATAACATAATGTACACAAGCATAGAGACCTACAGGTCTCTCATTTCTCATAGGAATTCAGTCCCCAAATGTTGCCAGGGGGGGGGCAGGTCAATTAACTATCCTGAAGTGTAAATGTTGAAGAAAGTTTTCTTTTCTTTCATCAAACCCTTCGACAACCTATCTATAAGGCCTATATCTGGCGCTTTTTCCATAGTTCCCACCCCCCAATTATCATTTCCTGTTTCAGTAATGTAATATTTAATACGCAGTGGCTATTTTTACGGCGTGCCGTAAAGATAGTCTCCCAGTGAGTCCCAGGCTATTTTTACGGCGATCCTCGAAAAGCGACCCTACTCCGCCTCTCATGTACGCGACATGCCTCAATGTATTAGATCTAGGCCTATAGGGGCCGTTCAAAATATAAACTTACACCTCAGAGGGAAAAGGTGTCTTTGGCTTCTGTAAGAAAAGTGTAAGATTGGGTGGGGAGGTTAACCAAATATGACACTTCTGTGAGATGAACGTTTTGCTCATGACTGGGAAGAAAAGGTAAAAGATTGTTTCTTTGTAACTTTGCAACTATTTTGTTGATCTTTTAATGTCTTGATGTCTTTTATTTGTAAGGCACGTACCTATTGCATTGACAAGAGTCTCAATGTCTTCCACATATATGCGTTTCTTTTTAGTCCATATGGTTTGATTAAATTGTATTAACTGAAATGATATTTTTTTTTACAAGCTGGTTAAAAAAAGCCACGTATAGTACAGGTATCTTTGAAATAATACTGGAAGTTGAAGATCGGAAAAAGTACTAATATTAAATTGGTGTGGGTGGGGGTTGGAGGCAAATGTGAGAAAAGTGGTATTGGGTTTTGTGTTTTAAAAAAGTCCCCAAAAGTGTAAGATTATATTTGAACAGCCCCATAGGTTTTCCATTTCCTCCTCTTCACCGTCATTCTATTCTCTTCTTCATCTGCCTTCTCCCTTCCTCCACCACCACCTCTTCCTTCTTCTCCCCACCATCATCATTCACCCTCTCTTTATCATCACCACCACCATCACCCCCTCGTCACTATCATTACCATCATCACTGCCACTGCCAGCATCATCATCTCATTCACTGACATCACTACATGTACCACACCCACAAGAAGAGCGGCCATTTTGGAGTTAACACTTTTCGCCTTGGGAATGCCTTTAAAATGTTCCTCCTTCCTTTGCACTGAGCAGATTTTTGATAGAGGTGTAAAATATTTTTTTGTGTGTTCACAATCATTAATTTATTAATTATTGTGATGAAATTTCAGGGCACAGGAACACATATATTTTTTTACATTCAAATTTCAAAATTTTGCTCAGTACGATTGACCACAGTATCTGTATCTACCATTCCACCAATTTTCATGCAATTTTGTTAGAGAGTAAGAAGCCTTCGGTTTTTAAAAAATTATTGTTTGTTTTGCATGTTGGTGCTGTTTCCATTCCATGGCAACTTTCATATTTTCCAACTTATCAAAATTTACTTTCTTCATTATTTCTTATGCCTGTATAATTTTTTTTCCTAAATATGAATCGGAAAAAGAATCACCCTTGGGGTGAGCTGTTCCCCGTAAAAATGAACAGTAATAATATGAGCACATTAGAAAACAAAACACAAAAACTTTAAAAATGCGACCTATTTTATTATTTGAAAGAATCCCACAACAACAAGGTCCTAGTAAAGAACATAAAAACATTGAATTGTTTAAGTCCAGAATAAAGACTATAATTATGATAATACTTAATACTAATAATAGAGGACATTTAATTATAGTGCCTTACTCTCGGTTTTAACCAGCTCAAAGTATGTTACATTAGTTTAGTCATTTAGTAAAATGTAGTATAAAATAACAAATAAGGTAGTAGTCTACAAGGCCTACAAGCCAAGACGGAATTTATAAGACTGAAAAACATGTTCTACGTCATCAGTTTGTTACCGCCGTAAAAATAACATTTCAGTTAATACAATTTTATCAAACCATATGAACTAGAAAGAACGCATATATGTGGAAGACATTGAGACTCTTGACAAGGCAATAGGTACATGCCTTACAAATAAAAGACATCAAGACACTAAAAGATCAACAAAACAGTTGCAAAGTTACAAAGAAACATTAAGAAATTAGATGTCTACCTACAGAATTTTCATCATAATTTCAAAATTATTTGTCACCCCCCCCCCCTCTCAAAAAAACAAAACAAAACAAAAAAAACAACAACAACAGGGATCTGCAGTAATCATGCAGATCTGGTTCTTGTTATTGGCATTTATCCACTTTTTCTTTGACCTTTTCTTCCCAGTCATGAGCAAAACGTTCATCTCACAGAAGTGTCATATTTGGTTAACCTCCCCACCCAATCTTACACTTTTCTTACAGAAGCCAAAGACACCTTTTCCCTCTGAGGTGTAAGTTTATATTTTGAACGGCCCCTATAGGCCTAGATCTAATACATTGAGGCATGTCCCGTACATGAGAGGCGGAGTAGGGTCGCTTTTCGAGGATCGCCGTAAAAATAGCCTGGGACTCACCGGGTGGCTATCTTTACGGCACCCTGTAAAAATAGCCTGGGAGGCTATCTTTACGGCTCGCCATAAAAATAGCCACTGCGTATTTAATATTTCAGAGATCACTAGATCTAGATCTAGAGATCTCTAAATGTAATAGATCACTGAATGATTTAGGGCCTATAGATAGATAGATAATAAATCATGTCTATGGCTATGTGTCTAGATATCTAGATCTAGATCTATAACTTAGATATAGACCTAAATCTAGATTCTACGCTATAGATCAGTTTTAGATCTAGATCTAGATGAACTTAAGTCTACCCTGAGCCAAGAGGGCGTTGAAAGTTTCCAAAATCACAAAAGATTTCCCCTCCTGGATCTGTAGATCTAGATATAGCTAGATTTTAGATCTAGAGATCTATAGCCTATGTACGGCGTACTGTCACGTACGTCATACCGTCAGTTGGCACGCATTTGGTCTAGAAAATCTAGTCTAGAATCTATACTTCGCGTCTTTGTTCCGGGTTACCGGGTCTGTAGAGGTAGATCTAGTTTTCTAGATCTAGATATCTAGAAATCTAGATATCTAGGCCTACACTGCACTCCCAATAAAACATCACAACTGTTTCAAAAGTATTTGAATTGGATGGACAATGTATGGGGGACTTTTATCAAGATACGACCATTTTCTTTGGGCATGACATAAATTAAGACTGGGGGCTCTCGCGGCCTAGAGGTTAAGGTGTTGGCCTCTCATTCAAAAGTCCCGGGTTTGAATCCGGGTAGCGACCGAAAAATTTTCTTCTAAAAAATTGTCTCCTTTCACCTCCTTCCCAGCTCTCTAGCAATGTTCTGTTGTCTGCTTTCATTTCCACTTTCCGCCCCCACCCCCTCACCTCCTTTGTCCCCTCCTCTGGGCTCCTGACTCTTTCTGCAGCCTTTCTACTGCTACTCCTTGGCTCCTTCTTACTGCTGTCTTTCTGCCACACCCCTGATCTTCTGGTAGGAAAGATCTACACCTAGCCTTCTCGGACAAGGGCGAAAAATCTCGGAGGGCCGGTGTGCAAGTTGCGCACGTTAAAGATCCCTTGGTGGTCTAAAATCGATAAGAGTAGGCTTCGGCCGCCACCCGAGCAAAATTCAAAATTTCCTACCAACAGAAAATATTAGGTGTGTGTCCCGCGCGCTCATATGACCTATGCAGTTGCGAGCGCCGTAAAACACTTTACAAAAACAAAAACAAACAAACAAAGTGGCTAGCCGTACTTAAGTACAGCTAGACTGAAAGATCTAGGTTTGGCCCTATCGACTCAAGCCTGTTAAGTACACAGGTCTCATTAGATCTAGATCTAGTAATTATTCAGGTTCAAGTCAGTAAGGCACCTTTTTGTTTTGTCTGAAATACAAATACTTTAGGCATTGCAAACTAAAAATTTCATTTACAATTTAGCCATCAATATTAAGTACGGCTAGCCTGACAGTCTAGCCGTCCTTAAGTACGGCTAGCCTGGCTGTCTACCCGTACTTAAGTACGGCTAGACTGCCAGTCTAGCCGTACTTATCTTAGGCCCTATATTAACATTAGAAAACAGGAGGTTTAAAATACATACATGCACTGTCATTTAGGTTAGGCACCTGGTTTCGTCTCAAATACAAATACTTTAGGTACTGCACACTAAAAAAGTATATTTACAATTCAGTAGGCCTATTTTTTGTTAAATGGTCAGTCTAGCCATCATATTAAGAATAAGTACGGCTAGACTGCGAGTCTAGCCGTACTTAAGTACGGCTAGACTGCCAGTCTAGCCGTCATTAAGTACGGCTAGCCTCTTCCACAAACAAATTAAGACTAAGACTACATCTAGATCTGGAATCTAGATCTAGATCTAGATTCTAAGAATAGATCTAAGTCTGAGACTAGATCTGGATCTAGATCTAGATCTGGATTCTAAGACTAGTCTAAGACTGACTGACCTCACAAAACCAATGAAAACTGTCATAGCGATGAAGCACAGAGCAACAACTACAATTGAAGTTACATTGGAAAAGCTGGCAAACCACAGCAACACAGGAGTAGCCATTCCCATCTCTCTTCCTGCTCTCAGACCTTACAAGACAGTTTTAAAATAAATAAATCTAGATCTAGATCTAGATCTAGGCAAAATTTGGTTTGATTTTAGATGTTTGTTTTCCTCATTATGATCATGAATTAAATCATCAGAAGTCAATGGAGCCAGCAGCAGTCAGCGCTGGCCAAATCATGGTAGCCTAACAGAGGTCCCTAGCTAGCAGTATTGACAGTTTGGAAATTCTCCATTCGTTCGGAGTTCAGGGCAGGGTCTCGGATGTTGTCAAGGTTTACAGTAAGTTAGTAGTTCAAAGCTCCTTGGGTGTTGTACAACATTTTAGGGCTGTAGTTATTCACACAGGGTGTGCGAATATTATGAAATTTGATTCGCACAGGGTGTGTGAATACTGGGTTAATATAATAAGTTACGAAATTAGATCTATATTCGCACAGGGTGTGTGAATACTACAAAATATTATTGGCAGAGGGCGTTTCAAAAGAAGGATGGAAATTATCTAGATCTAAATGTAGATGTAGATCTAGCATTTCCTCACCCCCCCCCCCCCCCCCCCCCCCCCCCTCATTCGCGTAAGGACAAAGATCATGGATAACAAGAGTTCACTCCTCTTTTTGAGCCAAATAAAAAGAGTCCTCAAAATTTGGTGGCGCCCTCTTTGAAAAAGTGCGGACTTTGCAAACAGACCCTACTAGTGTGAAAAACAATAAAATTGAAATTAACAGACTGTGCTTATCCTATTCTTCTTCTGGAGAAAGGAAAGGGAGCTTCAAAACAAAGACTCCAGCACCATCTGAACCAATGCGCTGACTTCTGAGAACACTTATCGGGCTGAGTGAACAATCTTGTTATCTATCTTTGATAGGGATGGATCTATAGTCTAGAGATCTAACCAATTGTGCAATGCGATACAAAAAAAAAACAACAACTCAAATTGGAATTCAAGTTGTTTATTGAGTCAATGATAAATTACTCAAATCTCTTTTTTCGATTTTTGTTTTCCTTGGGCCTTGAGAGAAAGAGAGAGAGAGCGAGAGAGAGAGAGCGAGAGAGAGGGAGAGAGAGAGGGAGGGAGAGTGAGTGAGTGAGAGAGAGAGAGAGAGAGAGAGAGAGAGAGAGAGAGAGAGAGAGATGAGTGCATGCTTACTTTAACCCTAAAACTGAAACAAGTTATACTAGATCTAGATCTAGAATATCTAGATCCAGTGTCCAGTTGTTTTAACATTTAAAGTTAAAGCCTTTGCCAAAAGGTGGGATACCCGGGTGTGACAAACGAGGTCCAAAATCAACGTAGGCTCGACCCTGTGCAAATAGAATTATATCTTAAGTTATTCGCCCACCCTGTGCGAATAGAATTATATCTTATTAAGTTATTCGCCCACCCGGTGCGAATAATGGCCGGACGAACATTCTTGGAGCAGCGAAATAACGCCGTCTAACGGTTAAAAATAAATACAGTACAAGCACAATTTATTAATAATGTATCAATGCAGACGTCAGTTAGAATAGTGCTTCTGAACTGCTTGCCAGCGACCAAACATTTTATAAAAAAAACCTTGATGCAGTAATTTTAAAATGTTTGTGGCCATTCTTACATGCCAGTCTCAACTGACTGTAGCCATCTAAGGAGATCATACATGTAGCCATCTAAAGGAGATCATACATGTAGCCATCTGAGGAGATCATACATGTAGCCATCTGAGGAGATCATACATGTAGCCATCTGAGGAGGTCATACATGTAGCCATCTGAGGAGATCATACATGTAGCCATCTGAGGAGATCATACATGTAGCCATCTAAGGAGATCATAGATGAGATGCCATTGGGTCCAGGAGCAGTGATACAGCCCTTGGTGGCGACTCAAGAAGATTTATACTAATTCCAGTAGTAATATAGTCTTTGGTGACAATTCCAGTAGTAATATAGTCTTTGGTGACAATTCCAGTTATAATATAGTCTTTGGTGACAATTCCAGTAGTAATATAGTCTTTGGTGACAATTCCAGTTATAATATTATTATAGTCTTGGTGGCAACTCGAGTTATAATATTATTATAGTCTTTGGTGACAATTCGAGTTATAATATTATTATAGTCTTTGGTGACAATTCGAGTTATAATATTATTATAGTCTTTGGTGACAATTCCAGTTATAATATTATTATAGTCTTTGGTGACAATTCCAGTTATAATATTATTATAGTCTTTGGTGGCAATTCCAGTTATAATATTATTATAGTCTTTGGTGACAATTCCAGTTATAATATTATTATAGTCTTTGGTGGCAATTCCAGTTATAATATTATTATAGTCTTTGGTAGTCTTTGGTGACAATTCCAGTTATAATATTATTATAGTCTTTGGTGGCAATTCCAGTTATAATATTATTATAGTCTTTGGTGGCAACCCCAACAGTTCCCGTTTGTGGCTCCAAGGTGGCGCCACTGAGGTCTCTCCCATAACAACCACTCTCCGCCATAATTGTTGTTTACCAAGATAAGAGAGCGACGGTTGGGGTCATGTCTGTGTGTGTGGGCGGATGGCAGGTGCTCTGCTGTGGCCTGCTCTTCTATCCCGTCTTACCTAAGCCAACAACTGCAACGCCGACTTCCCTCTCACCAAATCTTTCTCTAGACACAAGCTTATTCCAAAATAAACCGTGTGTGTAATGATTTGAAAGTTACTAGATCTACAAGTAATTGGTTTAATATTTTCTCTTTTCCCTCCGGCAATAAATTACGGACAGGTTCGATGTTTTTGTTCCGAGGTTTCAAGTTCTCTGTAACTGTCACACAGAGCTCGTAGGCTAACATTACAAATACATTGTTCCTTGTATGCAAAATACATTTTGTTTGTTCTCCGAGACGAGTGGCTCTGTATTGTATTTCTACAAAGGGAAGCAATAAATCACATCCCTGTCAACAATTTATTGCAAAATACACTTGTCCAATGAAGTTCGCGGAGAGCTGTTTGACAGGTTGATTCTTCCACAGCTCACGACAATATCGAAGTACGCGGAGCAGCCTAACCCTTCTCTCTCCTTAGCTCCTCAATGTCAGAATAGGACAAAGAAACTTCAGAGTTTATTTTTTTAAACAGAGAAACTTAACTACTTTACTAAAAGCAAAATTGGCCCTGCCCTCAAAGGGCCTTAGGAAACGCCGTGACGAACCCTCTCAAAGCTTACGTCTCTTGTGATTTCAAAGGAAAATCAAATAAGACGGCTCTTGTCGACAAAGCTGGCCTAGACAGTTGAGAAAACAGCCGTTGAAAGAGTTCTCTGAGGTGGTGTTTGTACAAGACCTACACTATCTTCACATGCTCAGAGAGGGAACGCTCAAAGCAAGCAACTGACTCGATCAGTGGGGGGGGGGGGGGCGGAGGAGAGAGGAGGGGTGAGGGGGGAAGAGGGGAGGGGTGAGGGAGGGAGAGAAGGGGAAAAGGGAAAGAGGGGGAGGGGGAAAGAGGAGGGGAAAAGGGGAAGTGTGTGTGTGGAGAGGGGAAGGGGAAGAAGGGGAAAAGGGGAGAGGGTGAGGGCTGAAAGAGGAGGGGAAGGAGGAGAGGGGGGGGGGGGGAGGGTTACGACTTACAACTGGAAAGTTTGGATGTTGAGAAATCCATAAAGCATGTCCTGCCCCTTCCTGGGAGAACATGAACGCTTAGCTCAACGTGGGGCAGTCGCCAAAGTTCGCTTTTATACTTCTTGGTGAAATCGCTTTTTACAAATCGAAAGTAGGCCAACAATTTGGTTAAAAATTTCCAGCAACAGCAGGATGTTTGCGCATTGATTCTCACCTCACTTGACAGGATGGAGAAATAGCCTGACATCTGTTCTATGTTACTACAGTTTAGGCCAACTAGACAAAGAATAATGGCTTTTTGTTTTCCCCTTCGAAACAGTCATCTCCCCCTCCCCTCCCCTCCCCTCCCCCCATCTTTTCCCTTGGAAATGAGGCGGGGACGGCGTGCTGGAAGAGCGCACTATACACGTGACCTATCGCGGCTGCCCTGGCGTCATCAACTGACCAGCCTGCAACACACGCCTGTCGATCTGCCACAATGGACCAATCATTCTGTGGAGACGGAGTTCCCCCTGCTACACACAAAACTACAGGAAACTTTTCTCCCAGAAACCAAATGTCCACCGCATGGGCTTCTTCCTCAGAGTCCACGAGATTGTGCCGCTCTTTGGATACAACATTGTTTTGTTTTTGTAGGTGGTGATTGTTTTGTTTTTGTAAGCGGTGATTGTTTTGTTTTTTGTAGGTTTTGTTTTTGGTGAGGGTGGGCTCACTTTTCCCTCATTTGTGATATCTATGTCACTCTTTGACTTTCTGTGCTAATGATATGTACCTCAGTACACGTTGTGATAAATGTAGATCGAAGCAACTCGTTCCCTCTCTGTTTTGGTAAAGCAACAGCATCACGGTAAAGGAGACGAAGGCATAGACTACGATGCAAAGATAAACATTTGGCCTTTGTGACGTTATCAGAAGGGCAGAATCTTCTAGCGGTCCTCTTGAGATGAGCTCAACACTTTCTTCAAGTGACACTTCACGCACAATCTAAGAGACTGCCACCTTCCTTTAATTAAATAGCATTCACAGAACCGAGGGGGGCGTGGGGGAGGAGGAGGGAGGAGGGGGTGTGAAGGAAGAGGGGGGGAGGGGGGTGTCGTGCTCAGTCTACGCTATGGTCTGGAGCTGCCAGTGTGTGCCAACTACGTCAAGGGTCAAGCCATGCCTAGGCACACCCACAGCACGGCTTCAGCCCCGGAGCCTAATACAATCTTCAGATTGTTTGTCTCGGCCTTGAGTCACGCACGGTCAATGGCCCAGTTCTATTCTGTTGGTTGGAAGTTAAGCTCTGGGGCTTGAGGGACAAACCAATGAAAGTTACTTCTCCGCGGAGGAGGTACAGTGGTAGGGACACACAGACAGATCAGATCACTGTCCGAGTCATTGTGCCTCACAGGCTATGTTTGGGTAGTCGTGGAGTTTTGTTTTTTATCGGAATACATCATTCTATTTTTCTGTCCCGCTTACATCTTTTATGAAATGTTTTGTTGTGATTCTAGTCCGAGAAGTAGCTTTTTGTTGAAGAAAGCCAGGCGGGGCTGAAGCTGCGAGCCCCGCCCCACAAGACGCCAGGGTGTGGCAGGGGGGATTGGGTAGTAATGGAATCTTATGTTTGTTCTTCACTGCAGCTGTGCATCGTGTTGAATGCTTTGCAAAAATCGTTTTCGTTCTTTATAGTCCCAACACTTCACAAAAAAATCAAATGTCCCAACATTTCACAAAAAACACATGTCCCAACATTTCACAACAAGTAAATGTACCAACATTTCACAAAAACCAAATGTCCCAACATTTCACAACAAACACATGTCCCAACATTTCACAACAAACACATGTCCCAACATTTCACAACAAACACATGTCCCAACATTTCACAACAAACAAATGTCCCAACATTTCACAACAAACACATGTCCCAACATTTCACAACAAACAAATGTCCCAACATTTCACAACAAACACATGTCCCAACATTTCACAACAAACACATGTCCCAACATTTCACAACAAACACATGTCCCAACATTTCACAACAAACACATGTCCCAACATTTCACAACAAACACATGTCCCAACATTTCACAACAAACACATGTCTCAACATTTCACAACAAACACATGTCCCAACATTTCACAACAAACAAATGTCCCAACAAGTGGTGCCCCAATCACACAGAAAAGAGGGAGGTCACGTTTAGAACCCAGCGGGGTTTCACTTTATTTTTGTTTTTAATTTTTTTTAATGTCTCGTTCAGTCTGCGGAAGTGGATGGTCTATACATGACAGGAAGTGGATGGTTTATACATGACAGGAAGTGGGTGACAGACAGGAAGTGGATGGTCTAGACATGACAGGAAGTGGGTGACAGACAGGAAGTGGATGGTCTAGACATGACAGGAAGTGGGTGACAGACAGGAAGTGGATGGTCTAGACACGACAGGAAGTGGGTGGCAGGCAGGAAGTGCGTGGGGCACACATGTCCGGTGCGAACAGAGCAGTAACAAAAACGAACAAATCTTGGGCGTCAAGCACGAGAGAATAAAAAACAAAAACAAACCTAGATGTGTACGTGTATGTCAAAAACTAGGTGTGTATGTCAAAAAACTAGATGTGTGACATGCATGTCAAAAGGTAGATGTGTGTGTGTCAAAAAGTACGTGTGTATTTGTGTGTCAAAAAGTACGTGTGTACATGTTCGTCAAAAACTAGGTGTCTATGTGTAGGTCAATAACTAGATGTGTACGAGTATGTCAAACACTAAGTGTGTATGTGTAGGTCAATAACTAGATGTGTACGAGTATGTCAAACACTAGGTGTGTAGCTTTGGAGATGCCCTATAACAGTTTGTGAACAGTGCGTCCGGCGCAGTCAGTTCGGGAGGTCAGTTCGGGAGGTCAGAGGTCAGTTCGGGAGGTCAGAGGTCAGTTCGGGAGGTCAGAGGTCAGTTCGGGAGGTCAGAGGTCAGTTCAGGAGGTGGGCGGGGACAGACATGAGCCAGAAGGTGGACCTGTAGTCGTAGAGAAACTGACGGACGCTCGGGCTGCGCCCAATTCGGAGGTATTTCCTGGTGTCCGGTTCGAACCGCGGCCATCCGCAGCTGACCGCCTGCCCAGGGTCCGACGTCTTGGCGAATGACGTAATGAGGTCAACAAATAGGTCAGACAGGTGCTGCTGGTCCGGGTCCGGGAAGTCGGTCCTGGGGAACTCGTAGGCCACGTCAGAACCGTGCGTCATGCAAGGGGCACTGCACGGGGGCTTGTCGGGGCAGTAGTCCAAGTGGTAGAAGAACGTCCTTGCTGAGACTGCTGCTGCTGCTGTTGATGTTGTTGATGTTGTTGTTGTTGTTGTTGTTGCTGCTGCTGTTGTTGTTGATGTTGCTGTTGTTGTTGTTGCTGCTGCTGTTGTTGTCGTTGTTGTAGTTGTTGTTGTTGGTGAAGCAGCTAATGAGGACGCAAGTGAGCAATCCGGAGCGCTAGAAGAGGCCGGGGTGAAGGAGCAGGGCCCAGCCTCACCTGACAGCTCCGGGGAACACTGGGACACCGCCAGGGCAGTCTCGAGAGCGGGAAGGAAAAACAACAAATCCGACGCCAGATCCAGAACTTTGTGGGGATGCACAGATCCGACTGGCTTCTCAACTCCAAGGTAAAATCCGTTAATGTTGTTCTGTAACATGTGCGCTGCGGAAGAATTCAACCCATACCTGTTGTGTACTAAAGCTTGGGTCAGGTCGTTGTAGAAAGCGACAGGGGCTATCTCCGAGAGAGGAATTCTGTGCAGGAAGTTCTCGGGCACCAAGGATCCCTCGTCGTTTAGGATGCCAATGACGTAATCTTTGTCGTAGGCGCCCACCTGAGCCAGGTGAGAGCGGTTGGCGAGGAGAGAGAGAGGCTCGCCAGGAACCATCTCCCCATCCACCACCGGCATCCAGATAAAGTCAAACTGTCTCCGCGCCTGCGAGATGTTGAAGGAATCGGGCTTGTCGTGGCGCAGTATGTCCGCGATTGACACGTTCCGCAAACACTGGAGGAACTTCTCGCCCGTGCCTGGACAGCCGACCATCTCCCCAAACTCTGCGGCCCGCTGTCTCGCGTCCCTGGACAGTAGGGAGGAGGCGGCGCCGCTCTGCATGACGGCCTTGTGGAACAACTTGGAGGAGACGGGCGAGAGGGCGTGCAGAGCCACGCAGGACGCGCCTGACGACTCCCCGAACACAGTGATGCTGGCCGGGTCTCCGTGGAGGTGCTCGATGTTGTCCCGCACCCACTTGATGGCCACGGACTGGTCCCACAGACCGATGTTGCTAGGCACCACATCGTCCTCTGTGGTCAGAAACCCGAAAACTCCCATCCTGAAGTTGACCATGACGACAATGACCTGACCTCTAGTCACCAGCTTCACAGGTTCCGGGAAGGCGGAGCCGGCGACAAAACCTCCGCCGTGGATCCAGACCATGACAGGAAGGCGAGGCCCCCGGCCAGACTGCACGGCCCTCATGTCCTCGTAAGGAGCGTAGACGTTGAGGTAGAGGCAGTCCTCGCCATAGCGCGGGTCTGTGGCAGACTTGGTCACCGACCAACACGACGGTTTGCTCGCTAAGCTGTTCACCGCCTCTCCTTGCCTCGTGGGCGCCACCGGCGTGGGCCGAGTGAACCTGAGCACCCCCACAGGCGGTGCAGCGTAGGGTATGCCCATGTAGGCGATGTACTTGTGACCGTTGTGCGGGGCCACGGAGACCGAGCCCACAAACCGTCCTATAGGGGTGTCCAGGGTGGGCGGCACGGCAGCGGCGTCCACGGAGCCTTGGGAAGACGGCGTCCAGTTCTGAGCCATGAAGGTCAAGGCCATTGCGAAGAAGAGAGCAGTGAGAACGACGCTGAACCACCTCCAGCCCATGGTGCCAGCTCCCGCGGCTCCTTCAGTTGCTGTTGGAAGTTGCCAGAAAGAAACCAAGAGCTTGTTTCTACGCGCTAAAGAACACAGATGGCGCCGACCAGCTTGCCAGGGCTAGTCAGAGGGCGAGAGGGCGACACGGTTGAGCGGTTGTTCCACGAGTAGAACTAAGGTACAAGCTAGGACGAAGACACCACATATGGTTCTATCCTGCAGTTTTGGGGGTAGCTAGGTCAAAGGTTAGAGTTGAGCTTTGTGGCGGAGGCCACTGGGACCCTACATCTTCCCAGACCAGGAGGGACTGACAGAATGTGCGTCAGCTGACGAAGTGAGGGCAACAGTGAGGGCAACAGTGAGGGCAACAGTGAGGGCAACAGTGAGGGCAACAGTGGGGGCAACAGTGAGGGCAACAGTGAGGTCAAGGGCCAGGTATCTTGTCCCCAGCAGACGACACAGGGGTGCGCTTCTCGACTGTCCGCTGTCCACTGGCTCACATTTTGACCTGCAAAGAAAAAGAACCAAAAGAAAAAATTGTAGTACCACAACAAAGCGAACTACCCGTTTCACGACACTAACTTTTTCACGACACTAACTGTTTCACGACACTAACTGTTTCACGACATTAACTGTTTCACGACACTAACTGTTTCACGACATTAACTGTTTCACGACACTAACTGAAACTGTTTCATGACACTAACTGAAACTGTTTCACGACACTAACTGTTCCACGACATTAGGGCTAACAGTTTCACGACATTAACTGTTTCACGACACTAGCTCATCAGTCGCGGAGTACTATCCCACCTCCCCTCACCCCACCTCCCCTCACCCCACTCTCTCTACCCCACTCCCCCATCCCCCCACACATACACACATACACACACACACACACACACACATATACACATACACACACATAGACATACGCTCATACACACAAACACATACACACATGGGTGGTTGGTTGGCGGGTGCTCTGGTGTGGTTTGCTACTTCTTTCCTATCCAACATCTGTCGTCCTTATCTCCCCTTCTTCTTTTTTATGTTTGTTACTGTCTTGTAACACCTCGAATCTTCTGGCGCTCATATGACCTTATGCAATTGCGAGCGCCGTAAAACCACTGCTAAAAAACAAAACAAAACACATTTATAGACATACACACACATACACACCCACATACACACCCACATACACACACATACACACAGACACATACGCACACATACACTCACACACACATACACACAAACACATACACACATTCACACACACTCACACACATACACACATATACACACACATACACACACATACACACACACTCACACACATACACACTCACATACACACATACATACATACATACATACATACATACATAC